GTTTACCATATCTCGAACTACATTTGCCACGGTGCTTAGTTACGCCATTAGTATCAATTTTCGTTGACTGTAATGTCTATTAGGGCCGGACGCTCGCCCTAACTCGTTGCCGATGCTGCCATCCCTGCCAACCATGTCAGCCACGGGCAATGCCTCAACGACGGCTGCTCGGTCGGTGCGACAATATTGTCGTGGCCAGCCGAAATCATCCATATGTGTTACGTGCTTTACGTCGGCCCATACTCCGGTGCCTCTGCTGATAGGATCGCATTCGGCACGCGTCCAGCAGGCTTCGGCATGTGTTCACGCACGCACGCACGCAACGCACCGCCGCGCACACACACACACACACACACGCTACGCACACACACGCGCACACACGCGCGCACACACACACACAACACACAACACACACACACACATCACACAAAAAACACACACACACACGCACACACACACACACACACACCACACACACACACACACACACACACACACACACACACACACACACACACACATATATATATATATATATTATATATATATATATATATATATATGCGGGCCGTAGCGCTATGCGGGCAGGCGCACACATCAGTCCATTCACACACTCATTCATTTGCACGTACGTACGCACGCACGCATGATCGCACGCACTTACGCACGATCGCACGCACGAACAATGGCACGCACGCACGCATCGTGATAGACGACAGGAGTTCAATCAGCTGCCTGCCTATAATTAAGTGCTTTACATTAGAGAGAGAGTGGAGAGAGAAAGCTGAGAGAGACAGCGCAGACTTAATGGGAGAACCGGCGTTAAATGACATCGCGTGAAACACGTAACCCTCCGCCCACCTTGGTTTTCAATCGATTTATTATAGCGCGTTTTTCTCTCACCCCTCTAACCCATTTTATCCTACCATCGACCTCCTTTCCTCTTTCTTCTCCTCCTCCTCCTCCTCCTTCTTCTCCTACTCCTCTCTCCTCCTCCTCCTCTGTCTCCTTCTTCTTCTTCTCCTACACCTCCTCCTCCTTCCTCCTCCTCCTCCTCCTCCTTCCTCCTGCCTCCTCCTCCTCCTCCTTCTCTCCCCCTTCCTCCTCCTTCCTCCTCCTCCTCCTCCTGCTCCTCCTTACCCTTCCTATTCCAATTTCTCTCCCCTCATATTTCCCTCTATCCTCCTCAATCCACTTGCCATTCTTCTAGCCAGTAGCTATGTCTGGTGAATATATATCTACATACTATAATAGATGCAGAGTGCATGATTATACTTGTAGCATACTTGTGAGGCATATTTGTATACGCCTATAACGTGCTTACGTTGAGCGGCACAGATGCACTAGGAGGTGGCAGGTTGCTCGTATCTTGGGAAGCATCTCTGACACGAAATCACGAAATCACGAAGACACGAAAGTGGTCGCGATGTGGTGAAGCTAAACCCAGCCGAAATATATACAAACGCACACGCACGCACGCACGCACGCACGCACGCACGAATACACACATGCGCTCGCCACTTCACACATACACGCATACACGCATACACGCATGCTCAGGCGCGCACGCATGCCTGAATCTAAAACACAATCTAACCGAGCATCTGACATCCTCGAAGCAGCGTGGTCAGATATAACATCGGCGGCCCATTCTTCTATTTTCGTGCCTGGAGCATCTGTTGACTTGTGAGTAGGTGGTAGGTTAAACAGTTGCACTGTTGTTACCTCGCCACCCCCCCTCTCTGCCTTCCCCCCTTCCCCTTCCCCCTCCAGCCCCACGCTCAGTCGAATTTCCACGTGTTTCTTACCGTCGACTTCCGTCGATTTATCTTCTGTGGTCAGCGCTGGAATGGGGCCAAGGTTAGGTGCACGCACCCGTATGTTAACTATGCAACCCAGCTCCAGCTCGCCGGACAATGGCCATAGAAAACTGGCGAGTGGCCGGAGGCCGGAGACCTGACCACTGGCTCACCTCGCTTGCTGCTGACCACTATATGTAGATAAGACCCAGCAACCCAATTACCAGCAGAGGCGATCTGGACAATGTGCAAAAATGACCATTCGCGAAGAAAAAAAGCTCTGTAATCCACGGAGTGCTGAACAGGAGCAGTCACGCAAATATCCCTAAAGCCAACGTTTGCCGAACGAAAAAAACGGTGGGAGTGGAATGCAGTATTTATTGGTCGCAGAACGGCGGTGCATTATGGGTCGCGAAACCGTGCGGCGCATGCGCAGCGCGCGCCGTCCGGCGCATCTTATTGTCGTTATTAAAATGTAAATTCATGACGCTGTCGATTATTATTAATTATATTATATTAATTGTGATTTATTATGAACCTAGATCCAGTTGTTTGAGGAATTATCGTTAGAATTAATCGCCTCTGATCCTCATAATTAACTATTATTATATAATTAATTACGCCCATAATACACGAGTTTTGCATATATGTATGGTATCGTTCCCATTTATTGCTTAATTTTGTGACTATAGCAAATCAAG